CGGGATATTTTCGCAATCCGCCACTAAAGGAATGCCCTTGAAATTTGTCACACAAGGGCTCCTTCTGTGAGTAAGACTGCAACACCAAGAAGTCCTTTGGTACCTTGCCACAAGAGTTCGTTTGTAGTTGGGGAACTAACGAAACCTAGGTGTCGTTGGCTTGCTATGTGGCCGAGGGGTTGCTGTTTGTGTGTTCCGTGAGTGTCGTTGGCGTTGTTGCGTTTGTCGGCCTTTTCCGCCCTGGCCGCCACGGAGGAAATTCTTCCGTCATGTCGCCACAAAAGGAATTTCTTTGCATTCTGCCACAAGAGGGATCGGTTCGGAACCCGATGCAAAAGGAATCATTGTGTTGTAAGGTTGCCACAAAAGACATCCTTTTGCTTGGTATGCAAACGCTGACAGCACGTAGGTGTCGTTTGTTTTTGCTGGGTGGCCAGGGAGTTGTTGTTGGTTGCTCCTTGGGTCATGTTGATTGTGCTGTTTTTGTTAGTTTCCATTGCCCGTCCAACCACGAAGGTATGTTCTTTTTGTTCGGCCGCCACAAAAGGAACCCCTTGTGTTCGCCGCCGCAAAAGGATGTTTGTTTACAGTCCGCCGCAGCAGGAATATGTTCGCAAGGCGGACTTGGGTGTTGTTGCTTTGGTTGTGTGTGCTGGTTGCTCCTGTCCTGGCCGCTGAGCGCTTTGGGTAGGCGCTGGGGGTGGTCCGAGCAGATACGTGACCTTCGGCCCATCCCGCCACCGTGCCTGAGCTGTGGGCCTAGGGCCTTTGGATGGTTGTTAGGATCGCGCCGGTGCTTTTCGGGGGCTTCCTTGAGAGGCAGTGTGGGGGCCTTTGGGGGTCTGTGCGGGTGCCTCTTTGGGGTTTTTTGGGGCTTGGCGGTGGCTTTCTAGGTGGACATTCGAGGCCTCTTGGGGGCTTTGGGACCTCGTAGGCGCCTCTTGGGGCGAACGGCTCAGATGTTCTGTTCGTGCTCCCCTTCTTAAGGGCCGTCTTGGGGCCCTCTTTCGCCGTCTCGGGCGCTTCTTGGGCTGACCTGGGGACATTTTGGGAGCATATGTGGCCGTCTTGGGACGGTCGTGGGGGGTTCTTGAGACGTCGTGGAGTGTCGGGAGGTCGAAACGTCGAGAACCATGAAAACAGTGAATAAGTTGGGAACAGATGATGGGTTTGGCCTCTCGTGGCCTTTTAGGGAGGCTCTCCAATGCCTCTGGGGGCGCCTTGGGCGCTTGTTCGGCCGACTGGCGGCCACTTATGGCGCATTGGACCGACTGCTCGGCGATTCGGGGCTCGTTGAGGCAGTCGTAGGCCTCTTGTGACCCCCTTGGCCCGTTTGGGGGCCCTCTTGGGTCCGAGCAGGTCATGCGACAAGACGAGGCGCGGCCCAAGGTAGCACGACAGGGGGCCCCAAGTGATTTGGCAATGTTGCGTCGGCGCTTATAACATCCTCTCGTCTGGGGGGCTGAGGCTTCAGGGATTAGGCCAAGGACCTGAGGTCCCTCCAGCTCGTGCCTCAAGGGTAAGATGGCGGATGTCTGCGCATACGCATATATGTGTGTATACAATATAAATAAGTATATATATATATATATGTGTGTATATATAGACATATGTGAATACGCATACCTATGTATACACACCTGAACGTGCACCGTTGCGTTTGTATACCTATATGTACATACTTACATATCGATGTATCCACATAAACATCTACGTTCGTATGGGCAGCGACATATACACACCTACTTCTAATGTGTATACATCACATACACATACACACCCACACACATACATATACACATACATATACATGACATGGACACGCACATGTACATTTACACATAAATTTAGTATGGTAGAAATAGCCACGTGCAAATTCATACACGCATAGTCATGTATACAGCGCCAGTCCAGAGCCGATAACTACCCCCCCTGAGTCAATCTACCCGCATCGTTGACTCCCACTGCGAAAAGAGCGGCGACGAGGGCCGACAGCATTTCTTGCCCATCTTCGAGCTGGAACATTGCATAAACATGAATGTTCGGAGCTCCGCGCGGATTTGTTGCATCTGCTCCAGGCCTTGCTGGCGGCGCCGCCTATGGCGCGCGGAGCGCGCCAAGGAGGGGGCCCAGCGCCGATCCAAGAAATCCGCGCGGACGCCCAAACGTGTATGTTTATGTAGGTAGTTGTTTCTTTAAAGTTGCATCGGAGGCAACGTTGAGGGGGAGATATTGTAGGCTCAGGAGGGGACGCATCGACTTCCAATCGTTCAGTACCATCGCCGATAGAGGCATGAGAAACCACCCTACCCAGGAGCTTGCAGATTCGCCATCAGTTGCGTGTCGCCGGTCCACCGGCGATATCGCCGGTTCAGGGTCGATGTTTCCTTCCCCGAGTCGATCCCCCATATCGTTGACCTTCATTGTGGAAAGAGAGGGGACGAAGGCCGACAGCAGCTCTTGCCCATCTTGAGCAGGACTCGCTTTCAGTGTCGCCGCGGGCGTTGTCCACTTGGGTCGGACATCGGAGGAGGGCCAGTTGAGATGACGGCAGCTCTCCCACCCGTTCCAATTCCGATCAGAATGTGTCCTTGGACCCCTTCCGGGTCCATCCTGACCCGTTCTTCCAGGCGAAACTAGCCGTGGCGACGAGAAGCCGCTAGGAAGCCAAGACACCACGAAAAAACGCCAGGGAGAGCCGCCGTTGCTTGGACCCCCCTCGGAACGGCGCCGCCTATGCAGCAGCGGGCGCGGTCGGTTTTGGAACAGCGTTGGTTGTCGGGCATCGCGCTCGCTGTTGTCGGCACTTGCTCTTGTCGAGCGTGCCCGAAGGTCTGCCTGCACGCGGCCGACCGCGCGCGCGGCGTAGTGCGCTCCGTCACGCCGCGGGACTCGGCGCAGGCGCGGGGACGCAGAGCGGGGCCTCGGGGCGCCTCGGGGGGCCCCGCGCACGAGAAGGCTGCAGAATGCAAGCGCAGGTATCGGAGGTCCGCCCGGGTTTCCTGGGTCGGTGCTGAGCTCGGCGGCGAGCACGGGGGGGAAGTGAGAGATGGGGCGGGCCGCCTCCGAAGGCCCGGAAGTCCCCCGGCCGTTTGAGGAGGTGCCTAGGCCTTCCGCCGTCGGGGACGCCTGTCCCAGGGCGGCTGGAAAGTACATCATACCCCTACGGTGGCACTCAAGGGACAGAAGGGGCATAAGTTTTCCAGCCGCCCAGGGGCAGGCGACCCCGACGGCGGGAAAGTTTATCCGATACCGTTCTTCGCCCGCTGTTTTAGGGCGAGCCATGCTCAGCGTACGCCGTTGTCTCTTCCTTCGGCCTCGGGCGCCGCTGGCGAGGCGGGCTCTCGTCGCCGCGGCGGGGCGCAGCTCGGAGAGAGCCGGGCGCGATGGGTCCCAGGGAGGGCCCAGGGCGGAGGGAGCGGGGGCGGCCGAAGGGGTCGTTCTCGCTTCGTTCTCGCTTCGTTCTCGCCTTCCTCGATCTCTCTGTCCGTGCCTCCTCCTCCTCCTCCTCCTCCTCCTTTTCCTCCTCCTCATCCTCCTCCCTCTTCCTCCTCAGCTCTTCCTCCTCAGCTCCTCCTCCTCCTCCTCCTTCTCCTCTTCCTCCTCCTCCTCCTCTCTCCTCCTCCTCCTCCTCCCTCCTCTCCTCCCCCTCCTCCTCCTCCTCCGCCTCCTCCTCCTCTCCTCCTTCTCCCTCCTCCTCCCCTCCTCCTCCTCCTCCCTCCTCCTCCTCCTCCTCCTCCTCCTCCTCCTCCTCCTCCTCCTCCTCCTCCTCCTCCTCCTCCTCCTCCTCCTCCTCCTCGGCCTCCGCCTCCGCCTCCGCCTCCGCCCGCCTCCTCCGCCGCCTCCGGCCGACATGCGCCTTCGGGGCCCATGGGTCGGGCCGCGTCCATTGAGAGGTCCTGGGGCTCCGTTCTCTGAGGGTGCCGCCCTCCTCCCCCTCCCCTTCTTCTGCCGCCCCCCGACCCCTTCCCCTCTCCCCCTCCGTCATTTCCCCCGTGTGCTGCCGCAGGTGATCCTGGCCCGAGGCGGCCACGGCTGCGCCACAGCTGCGCCCAGACGGCCTTGAGGGCACCCCCCAGGAGGTCTAGAGGGCCCCGGGTGTCCCAGCGTGGCGCAGAAGGCTGAGAGCACCTTGGGCCAGGATTCATTGTGGCAATTTCCGGTCCCATTCATCCCCCTTCCCTGTCCTCTGCCCCGCCTCGCATCTCCCCCTCCCCCTTCTCGCAACCCCGCTCCTAGACTTGGCTGACAACCGAAGACTAGCAGCTTGGTCATTTGGAAGACAGTCCGAGGGGCTGGTTCCAGGAAGCGATTCAGGACCAAGTGTCTGTGCATGTCGGTTCTTCTTCCGACCCCTCAAAAGTAATCCGTTTGTTGCGCATGGCCGAATGCAATTTCTCAGTAGTCAATGTGTTTCCGCACGCCTGCGGTTCCAAACGCATGGTGTGCCCCACACAACGGGGTCTACACGCATGAGGCTCAAAACCACACTTGTTGCACCAGCGAACAGTTTAGGCCCACGCGCGTTCCTTGGCCATTTGCAAGGATTAGTATTGTAGTCCGCACGCCCATATTATTATGATTATGTTTGCCATGCGATGGTCAGGAGACCGATGCAATCCCATGCTTAATTTCTCTCGGCCCAGCGTATGAAGGGTTCGGCTAGACTTTTAAACAGAACCCAGAATTACCTGATTCGTGTCCGCAGTGAATACCCTGGAGCTCCGCCGCAACGTGTGGCCAGTGTCATGGATGCTTGGATAATCAGTTTTCCCCAGACCCGTTGGGATGAGGTTCAACTCAAATGATTAGTCGCCTTAGCTCACTCGGATCCTTGTGCTACCAGGGCCCTTGTCATTCCGAACGATCCAACTCGATATCGATTTCCGTCGGCCCGACCCGACTCGATTCCGGCAGTCCGACGATCCGATGTGCCCCGATGTTTGCGTGGCGTTGTTGTGCATTTTTGCGCGGCCAATTAGATTCGATTTCGATTCCGTTCCGATCGATGCAGTTCGACCCGACACAAGCAATTCGACCCGATCCGATCTCTTGATCCGATGCCGATTGCTCTTGCCCTGTGCCTCAAAGGTGCCCACAGTCCACCAGCACCTCAGGGACCTCCAGCAGCGGGCGCCCTGCATGCCCATGGAGCAGGTCGTCAGCACAGTCCAACCTGTGCCCACCCCCACTGGGCCACAGCATCTCACCCCCAGCAGCCCACCCTCCCCACGTTTACGTCGGGCACGTCCCTCTGCAGGAGGACTCTTCCAACACAGTCAAAATACAGTGGAGACGATTTTTTATATAACTATGTTTGACCATTTGGGGGCATTTGGGGGTATTTTGAGTTTTTGTCCAAAATCCACTTGGAGGGGGACATGCCCGACCTAACCCCAGGTGGGGATAGGCCCCGCGGAACCCGCAGGGGCAGGCACACACTTGGCATCGCTCGGACGTGTGCATTTTTCCTTCGGCGAGGACCATCGAGGAGCATCCTTGATCATATGGCGAAAAAAGCACGCACGAAACCGAAAAAAGCACAGGGAATGGACGTCCAAGCGATGGCCAGCACAGACCCCTGTGGGTGAGCAAGTCGGCCAGTGGGGCCAAAAGGCCGCGCCAGTGGGGACGGGCATGGGCTCGACGATGCGCAGGTCGAGGCGGAACTGCGCGGCCTCCGGCAGCGCTTCGTCCGCCGCGGCCGGAGGCACCCGAGGCAGCTCGCGGCGCCGGAGGGCGAGGAGCTCCGGGGGGGCTGCCCGGCCGAGCCCATGGCAGACCGACCGCCTCTCTTCTTGGCGGCCCCTTCGCCTCTCCTCCAGGGCCAACTGTTGGGGCTCGAGTTGCGGTGCTCTCGGGCGGTTTTTGTGCCGGTTCTTGCAGGTGTTCCAGCCTGGGGATGCGCGCCAGCAGCCCCCCTCGCCTCTCCATGGCCAACGTTCTTGGCATCGCTCGGACGTGTGCATTTTTCCTTCGGCGAGGATCATCGAGGAGCAGCCTTGATCATTTGGCGAGAAAGCCACGCACGACACCGAACAAAAAACATAGGAAATGGACGTCCGAGCGATGGCCAGCGTCAGGATCCGCTGCTCGAGGAGTTCGGGGGTCGTCGCCGGCTCCTGCAGGCGCTCCGGCCGATGGAGGTCGGAGCCGAAGACCAGGGGCCACGGCATCGCTTGGACCTCAGTGGGCCCTGGAAACGACAGGGCCGTTTTTGTTACCGGTTCCGTTTTGCCGTTTTTTTTGTTGCCGGTTCCGACGCCGTTTTTGTTACCGGTTCCGTCGCCGTTTTTTGACCGGTTCCGGCTCCAGTTCCAATCCTGGAGCCGTGTTTGTTGCTGTTTCCGGTCGGAAAACGGACATTTTTAGGGACATTTTGCTGGAAAACGGTTTTTCTCGGTGAGAGCCATCGAGGACCATCCTCGACCAACGAGCCAAAAAAAGCACGCACGAAACCGAAAAATGCACGGGAAATGGACGTCCGAGCGATGGCCAGAGGGGCCACGGCACTGGGGGATGGGTCTATAGGGGGGCACGCAGCGGCCCCCACTCGCAGGCGATCGCAGACGTGGAGGAAGGGCAGGGGAACACAGAGTGGCATAAGCATAACAACTCGGAGGTCCGCGCAGATTTCTCGGATCGGCGCTGGGGCCCCCCGGCGGCGCCTCCGGCGCCGCCCCTGGCGCGCTCCGCGCGCCAGGGAGGGGGGTCCAGCGCCGATCCAAGAAATCTGCGCGGACCTCCGAGTTTTAATGTTTATGTCACTTTTTGTTCCCCTAAAGGGGGCGTGGATTAGCGACGCGTCCCGTTTCCATGGGGAATCAAGGATTTCCGCCCGCCGAGCGAGGCGGCACCGGCCGCATTCTGGGGAGGCCACCTCCCCAGATCCATGGATTTGGCGACCGCGCGCCAAATCCATGGATCGCTAATCCATGTTTGCGCGCCCCCGACAATCGCCCACTCATCGCCGATAGGGGCCTGGCAGCCGCATAGCCCATCCCGCCCAGGCTTGCGCGGCTTCGCCATATCGGGGTCCTCTCCCGTGGATCCGCTGGCAGTGCAGCGCCGAGTCCTTGCGCAAGCGTTCCCCCCCTGAGCGTAAGTCGGGCCTGTCCCCCTTCAGGGGGAATTTGCTATGAAAAAAAAAACGTCCGAAAATAGTCCGAAAATAGTCTGGGGACTTTTTTTGAGTATCTTGTGGCCCTTTTTGGGGGTATTTGTTGGGTATTTTTTTTATTTTTCTATGAAAATCCCCCTGTAGGGGGACACGCCCGACATAACCCTGAGCCCGTCCCCTGGCGGTGGTTAGCGGGTCGCAGCTCGAGCCTCCGGCGGCCGTCCGGGAGGATCCGGGAGCCCCTGGGATTCGCTCTCGGCGAGGCGCGGCCGCTCCGGTCTGACTCGCGGGGCCCCTCTGAGCTTGCCTGTGGCTGAGAGCGCCGCAAGGTCGCGTCGATGTCCCCCCCCCCTTCCCCTAAGCTTGGCATCGCTCGGCGAGGACCATCGAGGAGCATCCTTGTGTTCATGCGGCGAGAAGGCCACGCACGAAACCGAAAAAGGCACAGGGAAGGGACGTCCGTCCAGCAGTGACGAAGCGTCCTGTCTCGCCTATAGCCCTACCAAACAATGTTCTAAGAACCTTTCGTGGTTTCCAGGACATGTTCTTAGAACATTTCTGGCGGAGTCTGTCTTGTTGTATCACATCGGGCTCATGTTCTAAGAACATCGTTTTTTGTTCGTAGAGCATTCTTGGGGTTCTGAGAAAATTTCGTGGTGGGACTATAGAAATGCCGGGACGGTCGGGCCCTGCTCAAGTCCGAGCGATGGCGAGTGAGCCGGTCCCCACCGAACGGCCCTAATTATCGTTGCCCTGCGGCCTCGCCGCAAGAGGTGTGGGCAGGCGGCGGGGGGGAGCGGGCGAGGAGAGCGATGCACAGGCAGCGATCTCGGCCGGGCCCATCCTCCGGCCCAGGATCTGCGGCGAACCCGGGGGGGGAGGGAGAAGGCGAAGCATGAATGAAGGCATGCATGTGTATGTGTATGTATGTAAGTATGTATGCAGGTATGTGTGTATGCATGCATATGTGTATGTGTATGCATGCATGCATGCATGCATGCATGCATGTATGTATGTGTGCATGCATTCATGCATGTATGCATGTATGTATGAATGCATGAATGCATGGATGCATGAATGCATGAATGCATGAACGCATGAATGCATGTATGTATGTATGTATGTATGTATGTATGTATGTATGTATGTATGTGTGTATGTATATATGTGTGTATGTATGTATGTGTGCATGTATGTATGCATGTATGTATGTATGTATGCATTTATGTATGTATGCATGTGTGTATGTATGTATGTATGTATGTATGCATGTATGTATGTATGTATGTATGTATGGTTGTATGGTTGTATGGTTGTATATATGTATGTATGTATGTATGTATGTATGTATGTATGTATGTACGTACGTACGTAAATACGTACGTACGTACGTACGTATGTATGTATGTATATATGTATGTATGTATGTATGTATGTACGTATGTATGAATGTATGTATGTATGCATGCATGTATGTATGTATGTATGTATGTATGTATGTATTTATGTATGTATATATGTATGTATGTATATATGTATGTATGCGTGGATGTGTGCATGTATGTGTTGGATGTCTGTATGGATGTATGTATGCATGTATGTACGTATGCATGTATGCATACATGTATGCATGAATGCATCCATGCATGTATGCATGCATGCATGCATGTATATATGTGTATACAAATATACACACACCGGCCCTTGGCCCAGACTGGGCCTGGCCAGAATCGGTGTACGTGTGTGGTTAATTTTCCTCTGGGAGGGAAGCCCGGAGGGCGAGGGGCTCGTCGTGGAGGGCACTGATCGCGGGAGGGGTAGTTCTGGTAGGTTTAAGTCGGGCAAACATAGAAATTTAAAAAAGTGTCGGGGGACGATGTGGTGAGTATGTGTTGACCTTGTTGGTGTATGTTTTTGATGTGTTTTATTTTTCGTCACAAATCCCCCTGTAGGGAGACATGCCCGACCTAATGGTAGGCTCGGGGGCAGGAGCTGTGAAAAGGCCCTGGAAGCGGCGCGGCCGCTCTGTGTAGGAGTATCCTAAAAACCGCGAGGGGTTCTAAAAACGCCGAGGGTATAAACGATTCGATTGGCTCAAGACGGTGGCTCAAGCTACGCGGTCCCCGCGGGTGCAGCGCATTTGCGGTTACAACCGGCAGCGCCGATGACAGGGGCATCGCACAGAAGCCAGAACCTGCCTGCCGCCATGGGCGGGCACATGCGGCTGTGGCACCCCAAGTGGTTCTCGCGCTACCTCTGGGGCTTCGTGGGCTCGGCGCAGCTGATGGGCTTCGCCGCGGACCAGAGCTACGGCATCAACCGCGCGAAGAACCCCGAGGTGCTCTGGCCCTGGTGGCACGAGATCATGCGCAAGAAGGAGAACGGCGAGATCCCGATGGACATGCCGGGCTACATGCTCACCAAGTACCGCAATGAGTCCGAGCAGCGCTGGAGCGCGGAGAAGGAGGAGAAGTTCGGGGAGCTCATGAACGCCATGAGCGCGGAGGAGGATCTCCTGAGCGACGAGACGTGCAAGACCATCGCGAGGAACTCCGAAGACGCGAACATCAGCTTCAGCAAGACGGGGCTTGAGCCGGCACCGATGCCAGCGCCTACGCCGACACCGTCGCCAGCTCCAACATCTGCGCCTACTCCGGCATTGACGCCAGCACTGACGCTAGCACCGCTGCTGACGCCTCTGGCGGCACCAACGCTTGCGCCTTCCTCACCATCAAGGCGAGCACCGACGCCAGCACGGACGCCGGCGCCAACACTGGCTCCTACACCAGTACCGACGCCAGCACCATCGCCTGCGCCTGCGCCAGCAGCAAGGCCGACGCTTACGCTGGCACCAACCCTGGCGCCTACACCAGCACCGCCGCCAGCTCCACCGCCTGCGCCAACGCCAGCACCGTCACCAACACCGACGCCAACCCCAGCATCCGCGCCTACGCCGGCAACGACGCCAGCACTGACGCCAGCACCGCTGCTGATGCCCACGGCGGCACCAACGCTGGCGCCCTCATCAGCATCGAGACGAGCACGGACGCCAGCACAGACGCCGGCGCTAACACCTGCGCCTACGCCAGCACTGACGCCAGCACCAACGCCTGCACCAACGCCAGCAGCAATGCCGACGCCTACGCCAGCACCAAGTCTGGCGCCTACACCAGAGCCGACGTCAGCTCCACCGTCTGCGCCTACGCCAGCACTTTTGCCAGCCCTGACATCCGCGCCTACGCCGGCAACGACGCCAGCACTGACGTTAGCACCGCTGCTGACGCCTACGGCGGCACCAACGTTCTCGCCGTCTTCAGCATCAAGGCGAGCACCGACGCCAGCACGGTCGCCGACGCTAACACTGACGCCTTCATCAGCACCGACGCCAGCACCAACGCCTACACCTACGCCAGCAGCAATGCCGACGCCCACGCCGGCAGCAAGTCTGGCGCCTACATCAGCTCCGACGCCAGTTCCACCGCCTGCGCCTACGCCAGCACCGACGCCAGCACCGACGCCAGCTCCAACATCTGCGCCCACGCCGGCAATGACGCCAGCACTGACGCTAGCACCGCTGCTGACGCCTCTTGCGGCACCATCGCTCCCGCCTTCATCAGCATCAAG